TCGGTATGAAGAAAAAATTACAAATTGAATATAAGAGAAGGTCACTTATTAATTCATTCAATAAAAAAAAATTAATAAATGAAACAAAAAAAAAAAAAATTATTTGAAAACAGGGGAGAAGAAGATTACGGCGAGTACTGTCAAAAATTAGATATGGACGAAGAGACTTTTGAAATAGAAAAAAAAACATTAATATCTTCTTTAAAGGTAAACGAAAAAACACAACAACATTTGGAGCAAATTACAGTTGGTCAATCCGAAAACAATCAATGGTTTGAAGCTAGGAAAAATAGATTAACGGCATCTAACTTTGGTGTAGTATGTAAACGACGACCAACAACAAAGTATACACCATTAGTAAAAAAAATTTTGTACAGCGAAGAAATACATAGTTATGCAATACAACATGGAAAAATAAATGAAGCTGAAGCAATAAGAACATATGAAAAAGAAAAAGGTATAAAAGTAAGGTCTTGTGGGTTATTTGTTGATATGCAATATGGATTTTTAGCTGCTTCACCTGATGGACTAATAGACGCCGATGGAATAATCGAAGTAAAATGTCCATATTCCTTAGCAAAAAAAAGGTATTACTATTGATTTTGCCGCTAAGAATATTAAAACCTTTTACTTGAAGTTCGATGAAAATACACAAAAAATTAATTTGAAGGCAACTCATGATTATTATTTTCAAATCCAAGGTCAGTTACACATTACGCAAAAGTTGTACTGTGACTTCATTGTTTGGACACCATTAGAAATGTTCGTAGAACGTATCATGAAAAATGATGAATTTTGGTATAGTAAAATGGAAACTAACTTAGTGCAATTTTATCATGAAGCGTTGATACCAGAAATAGTTGATCCGAGATTATGTCGTAAAATGCCAATAAGAGACATTGAATAATATTATAATAATATACATTGTAAAAAGTTTTTTGTTCTTATTTAATGGTTTTTAATTTTTTATAATTAAATGTTAAACAATAATACATATCTAAAAAATAAGATACCTAGTCTTAAAATTATTTATTTTTTAATAATATTATTTCATATAATATGTAAACTAAAAATATTAATATGTTGAATATTCAACGATCAATGAGGTATTATACACATGATATAAAAAAATAATTAGTTATTATGAATTATTTAAATATTTATTAGGTGTATTTAATATATAATATACAATATTAGGTAATCATGTTTTTTTTTTTTTACTTTGTAATTTTTTTGATAGGTATAGGTATAATACGCAGGCCGATTCTTTTATGAACCAATCAAATAACATTTGGAATAGGTAATTAATAAAAAAATAAAAAAATAAGTAAAAGCATTTAAAAATAGAAAATAAAAATGTTGTTTATAAAGACATAAAAACTTTTTCTTCAAAAACAATGAGACTTTTTGAAATAATGAGTGTTTCATGATAAAATATTCACCTGTATTATATAATAAAATGTTTTTAATTTATAACTAAAGACCGGATTTATATGCATTAAAATTTTGGAATTCAAATTACTTTTGGGCGAGATCACGTCAGTATAAATTGGCTAAAGCGCCATCTCTGAATACAATAACATACTAAAGCTGTATACTGATGGCATGGTTGGGGGAGAGTAGATGTAAATCGACTGACGCGCGATCTCTGGTCATGAAAACATACTATGTGTGACTAGACATCCCCCTTAAGTAAGTCACAGTAATAGATAAGTTAAATTTGAATTTAATAATAAATCATTATTTAGGACATAAAAAAATCCATTCTGAATAAAGAGGATCTGTCAACTTTTATTATCATATATTTAAATTGCTATTAATTAATTTAATTAATAATGAAATTAAATAAATTTAAAAATAAATCGATTTTATAAACCAAAAATTGGTATTGAATTTATTATACAACATAAGCAAGAGCAGTATATTTCCGGAATACTAAAGTCACTTTTTTTTTTTTATATTATAAATTAAAAAAATTATAAGATTAAAGTTACATTAAATTATATTATCTATATATCTGTTTTTATTAATAATAAGTTAAAATAATAATATAATTTTAGTAATATTAGGTATGTTTAATTATACTTATTAAGTAATATTTAATACACAATAAAAGCAAAATAAAATTAATAATAATTTAAATTTTTTTGTTCATTTTTTCCCACTTCACCACTAAATGAATATTTGGTTATAAGAATCACTTTTTGTTGATCCTAAAGTAAGTCTTTTAAGTGGCATTTACTGTAATAATGTAATTAAACATTTCAAATTTTTACATATATTTTTAAATTACAACAAAATAACTGAAATAATTGTTATCTTTGTTTAAATATTATAAATTATAGTTATTTTATACTTTTTTAAGTACAAATTTTCACGATGTTACACATTTTGTCAAAATAATAAATATTTATTCAACTTTTTTTTTTTTAATTATTTATTTAAAAGTAATAAAAAATCTTGTACTGTTATTTTTTCTAGTAGAAAAAGTATCTTCATACTCAAAAAAGTCAATTAAAAATTAATGCATTCATTCTTAAGCTCAGAATCCAAAATTAAAATAAATTTCTTTGATACCTATTGATTATAAATAAATTATACTAAATAATTTAATATTAAAATAATCATGAACATGTTTTTATTTATTATTTTGATGTATAATATATTTGTGTTAAATAAGTTGTTTCAATTCACCATTAAAAGAATAATAATAAATGTTTAATAAAAATGTTTTCGATTTATACTAAAGAAACATTATTCAGTGTTAATTGTTATAAATAGTGCTAGGATGTTTATGAAATTGCATATTTTTTCCTATTTATCCAATTTAAGGATAACCTGGATACAAATTTAATTCATATTATACTGTATCAAATAATATTATTTTTATTTTGTATATTTTTGCATATTTTATGGTTTTGTATTTTAATTGCATATCTTAGGATTTTAAAAATAAAAATGCATATTTCAGTATAGTTTTTTAAAAAAGAATTTAATTAACAAACTATACAATTAATTCCACAATTTTTTACATATAAATTTTATAGGTGGTAATTACAGTCTACAATCTACCAAGTATTGACGTAAAATATAAATGTTTAGTATCAACTTATCGTATTTGTTCAGAATTACAGTACTTAATTGAACAAGGTCTAAGATTACATCAGTTGATGTAGAATGAAGCTTTTCTTATAACAAAAATTTACTTAACGATAATAGACACAGTTACAAATTTGAACAAATTAAAAAAACTATAGTAGCATAATATAACGCTAATAATGCCATAATATTAATACCTAATTAACAAATAATAATGTAAATTAAAGTAAATAAAATGCTATGTGAATTTGAAAAATGTATTTAAAATTATATTAAAAAAAATAATGAATAAAAATAACTACTATATAATAAAAATGAAATATTTATATTACATGAATTTTAATAACATTTTTTTGTACATATTATGGCATTTTCATTGATTAAAAATGCATATTTTATAATTTTTAGCTCATATTTTAATTGCATATTTTGTAATCATAAACGTCTGTTTCAAAACTTTCAAAATAAAAGTGCGATCAGGTAAGCATTTAATAACAATGCGGTCTCATCCACATTAAATAAATCATCTAGAGAATATTCTTTTATAATATTTGACAACTTTCCTAACTATTCATTACATAAAGAGTAATTTATAGACTTTATGCAACATATTTTATGAAAAGTTATAATATGATAATTTTTCTTAGTTGGATTGTTTTAAAATTAAAATAACCAAATTGAGTTATGAAATATTTTGCATTTTTTATCAGTATTGGTCAACTTATTGGTATATATTTATCTCTACACTGAGTACACCATTTGAATAAACATATCTCTACACTTGGATATTCAACTGATTGCAATCTTTTATTGTCACCTTTATTGACTTCAAATTTTTTTTTTTAATATCTGCATTATTTTTTAAAAATATTGACAGCATAATTGATTAAATATTAAATTTTTCTACCAATTTTATCACATGAACTTTGTCTGTTTAAGTTAAATGATTTAAATTTTATTTTAAGACAAAAATACACACAACTGGCATATGACGTTAAGTAGATACATACTAACCAGTACATACTTATGTTATTGTACATGCACAATAATCAGTTTTTATCTATTTAAGTATTATCTTCATTAAACAGTAGAGTAGATAAAACATAAAATGTTTATGAAAATACCCAAATAAAATACACTTCAACTAAGCTATTTATCACAACTTTATACTTGAGTTAACAAGACTTATAATACATTATAAATCATTAGGATTTCTTCAGGAATGAAAAAAAATTTGAGTTGTCAAGTTTTTTTAAGTTATCACAACTTTAATATAGCAAAATAGATTTTTACCTTTAAAAAAAGAAACAGAATATAACATTAACACATGAAACAATTAAACGAAGAAAAAAAGAAAACATTTTTATGCATGTTAAACTTATTTCACATTTTACTTATTTTAGGACTAAATAATTTATATTTATTTATTTTTTAGCACTTGTCATAACAATGTTCATGTGTAGTATACTAATAAGATTTAACAAATTTGTTTTTTTTTTTAGCAATTACCAAGTATATAAAACATCTTATATTTACAATTATAAACAAATGTGATAGTTAATATATTTTTTTTTTTTAATGAAAACTGGGGAAAGGCCATTTCCAAAACTTTTTCAATATAAAGCAATAGGTAACTTTTATCTAATTCAAACTATTCAAACTCTAATAAATTATCATAGCATACATATAATATCAAATAAATGCATTAATGCAATACTTTAAGTACAAATTCAAAAGCACGCAATTGTTTTTTTCTAATGTACTACTCAACACAGACCATTATTTAAAGTATCTGAATATTGTATGAATTTAATAATTATACTCGTTGATAAAACAAAATATGCTAATTTAAAGATTCTAACGATTGAAAGCATCAAACAACAAAGTATCCTCAGACTTACTTTCATAGCTGTCTACGCCTCTCAGCAGCATAACAGGTGGGTCAACGGCTGGAAAAAAAAAAAGAAAACACATTATAACATACCAAAAGCTTAACACAGTTCAGTTAAACGGCCTTTGTTGCCGATACGTAGAATTTATATAACATCTGACTCACCTGTGCTCGTGTACTGTAACACCATCGTAAGCGCCGCTATAATCTTCGGTATAAATTAGTAGGCGATGGAGACCTAATGTGAAACTAACGAGAAACAACAAACGCGATTCGTTTTAGATGTTTATCACGTTTATAGTGGACGAAATACTACGGAACGACAATTAAACGTCTGTTGTGCTAGATAATGAATCGCTGCAGATCATAATTTAATGACGTGCAATCCGTAATAAGAGGACTGTAATTTGTCAAAGCAAATTCGACGACAAAAACGTGCAAGCAATATACCGCGTCCGAGACTATCTACTATCAATGTATATCGGTTATCTGACAGTCATCACAACTGTGGTTAAAGTTAACGACCGCAGAACGTTATCTACCGTGCGTACATTGAGTCGCCTGAGTGCCATTTGACACGGCGCTAGGATTTTTTTTTTTTATAGGTAGTTAAGTTGTCTCATTTTCTGTATTTCTAAAATATGATATTACTTTTAAGTATGTCTGCTTTCTAAGTGTTCTAGTCGTGGTTATTGCACTACTCTGTATTTGATTAATCTAACGCAAGATCAAAAAAA